GCCCAGATGTCAGCGCACTTTGGTAAGTTGCTGATAGAAATCATCTTTCATCGAATTAGTGCTACAGTTTGTAGGGGCTTAGGCGAAATTATAAACAGTCAGCATTTGTTCTTGCGCGACTTCGAAGCATGGTACGAACCACCTAGTCTAACGGCGCACATCCGACTGTTGACTGGGGTCCGATCCGTTAGAGGAGCTTCAGCCCGGGGACTCCAAACAATGCCGACGCCAGCTTGACCGACATTTGAAGCTGCGGCATCTCCAGCTAGGCGAAATGAGAATGTTCCGCCAGTTTCGCCTGTGGGGGATCGCAGGGTAAGCACGAAGCTCAAATCTTGCAGTCGCGCTTCCGATAAACAACAAATACCAATCGATAAGTTCTCGAGTGTTCGGGCAAGTGCTGCCTGTTGTCCAAGCTGTAGCAAAGTGCGCACGTTGAGGCATGTCGGTCTTACCGAGATTTGAAGACTCCAAAGGGAACCGGATGAACTAACGTTGTCAGAATCAGATTCAGATGAACTGGAACGATAGGAAAATCCCTTGATTGTTCCTTCTTGAGCAAATCGTTGAGCCAAGAAATGATAAGGTGCTAGTTCTTGATAGATCTAAAACGAAACACCCGAAACACACCCTGATCAACCAATTACTGCCCACATTCCCTGCACTAGCAGTCCCCGCTGTGTAGGTTACGTGAAGTAAGAAAGAAGTAGAAAGTAACTCTAAGATAAAGGGGAATGAAATTCATTAAAATGAAGGATAACACCAAAGAGTGAGGAGAATGACAGAATAAGAATTAAAAGTTTGAAGATGGATATGATCAGGAGAAGGGAAAGGTTCCGTGTTGCCACCCAAGAGTGTCTAACTGACGCTCGAAACCCTTAACCGTAGGTTCACTGACTGCACTTTCTGGAAGCGAGTTCCAGCGCTCGATAACTCTACGCGATAACCGAGTATCCGCCCTGATCCGGTCAGAACGCGGCTTGTGTAGCTTCATGGGATGACCGCGAAGACAAGGCAACCTAGCCGGGCTAACTAGCCAGCTCAAGTCCAGTTCAAACTTCACTGTTAAAATGCGGTAAGTAAGGATTAGGTCTCCTCGAAGCCGTCGGTAGTGCATGGAATACATACCCAAGCTAAGTAGACGCTCGGGGTATGATTGCCCCCGTAACCCCTCGGCCAATTTGGTACCTACTTTCAAAACCCTCTCGAGCTCCATTTTGTCCCGAACAAGGCATGGCGGGCAAGCCTGGACGCAGTATTCCAGATGGGGCCGAACAAAATCTGAGAACAGCTTCACAAATATGTCGGCAGTTAAGACCCCGAAAGAACGTCGTATTAACCACAACATTCTGAAACTCCTAACTGCGGCATTCTTCCAGTTGTCACCAGAATGCAAAGACGAGTAATGGTCGACGCCCAGGTCTACCTGGTTGGAGACAAGGGGGAGTTCGACCCCACCGAGTACGTGGCTCGAAGTCGGGAAAGTTGCTCCTATACGAAGAACGGAACGCTTAGCATGATTCATGGGCAGTATCCACAAAGTACACCAGTCCCAGAGTCTGTTCAGTTCATGCTGTATGGCCTCAGAACCCCCAGGAACATTTACAACATTCCATAGCTTAAGGTCATCAGCAAACAATAGGGATGATACCCCAAGCTCTCTAGGGAGATCGTTAACGTAGATGGAGAACAGCATCGGTCCAAGGACCGAGCCCTGTGGGATACCGCTAAGGACTGCTTGCCTAAAGGATAAGCTGCGACCCACACGTACACACTGCTCTCTTCCCTGCAAGAACGCAGATACCCAGTGAAGGGCGCGGCCAGATACGCCGTAGAACCTCACCTTTTGTGATAGCCCCAAGTGAGGTACCTTATCAAATGCTTTCGAGAAGTCTACGAAAAGCACATCCACTACGTGGCCATTGTTAGTTACCTCTGCCCAAGCTTCACGAGCATCCAACAAATTCGTCAAACACGAAAAACCCTTCCGGAATCCATGTTGTGCAATACTGAGTTGATTAAATCTATTCAGGTGACATTCCAACGAATCTCTCACCAGCTTTTCAAGCAGTTTGACCACGACGCTAGTCAGACTAACTGGCCTATAATTGGCTGACAGACTCCTGTCGCCATTTTTGAAGATAGGACAGTTGAGAGCCTCCTTCCATTCGGGAGGTAATGTACAGCTGTCAAGTGACTTCTAAAACGCCATCGTCAGCAGTCCACTTAGTTCCCCCGCCGACTCATGCAGAAGCTCCGGGTGAATTGAATCAGGTCCAGCTGCTTTGGAAGGGTACAGTTCTTGCAGCAGTTTAAGGACTTGCGTTTCCACAACAGTAAATTTAGCTAAATAAGAACCCTCAGGTACTCTGGGGACAAGTTCAAGGCTAGTCAACGCGACCTCACGTACAAAAGCCCCTGCATACTGTTCCCCAAGTACACGAACCTTATCTGAGTCCGCATACGCACGAGTTCCATTGGCCCGCATCAAAGTTTGGATTACGGAAGTTGAAGATGGACTTGTCGACTGGCTTGAAGCGACGCCCTGCGATTGTGTTTGAGTTGAACCTAAACGAATATAAAATTTATTTGTTTATTTACAAGTGACTCTTGAAGCAAGGTAAGGAAGGGCCAAGAATTTGGGGTTGAAAACGCCGGGGATAAAAGTGAAGTTGGACTAGGACGATAATGGTAAAACAGCGTAAGAGGGGAAATAAGAAGACGGGAATGCTTGAGCAATAGCATCCAAGCCACTATCCACCTGTTTAATACAGCTGAGATTGCGCCATTGATTATCCTCTGCAACGGCCAGAGCCTTAAGAATCTGTTTGAAGAGAAATTCATTGTATTGCGTAGGCAGGCTACTGTCAGGTTGCCTAGGCCTAGACAGGAGAAAGATTAGGTTTCTCAACCAAAGCCTTTGGTTCAAAACGCTTTTGACACTGGACTCTGGTATGAGCGGCTCTGGAGGTGCAAATATACACCACCTGGCATAGCTCAATGGATCACTGAGGCACACAAACCATCGTACCATGGTAAGGTCCAGTTTTGTCCCGATGGCGCTAGTTTAGTATTCTCCTGGGAAAAAAGTTCTGCCGTTTCAACGTTACTACGAACAGTTGGGTGAATTCATCTTCTGGGGTACTACTTACTTGGATACGATGTCTTTGAATGAGTGGGCACTTCACCAAATACGTCATCGCTCCCTTCAACCGGCATGACCCAACGACAGCCGGTTCGCATCTAATGCCAAATAAGCTTTTCGTGTCCTATGGCTTAGTCTGCCCCGAACGAACCATAGTAAGTATGCCGCGCTGCAACCAAAGCCATCGATAATTCAATTGGCTCATGTTGTCTCTCTTTACTCACCTCTTGACGAACTGGCTCCGTCGAAGGGCTTCCATGTATTCCAGCAAATGGTAGAGCAAAATCCATGACTTCGCACGCAACTGCGCGCCCCCCACACGTAGGTGTGTGCGCGCGGGCATCTTCTATCCAACACAAATTGCCGCTTGGATTGCCAGACAAGCGTTACAGACGTTTGGGTTTCCAACATGCGTGCGAATGCCTTGATGAAAGGTATGAGTCGTGGTTGAATTAAGGGGATTGGTCCAAACATTTTTGACACGCTGTACTTTTGCAGGAAGGCAATGAACACAGGAAAGGACTGGCGTTTGCATTCTAGACTTGGCACAGAGCATTTTGGGGTTGTGTCCTTATGTCGGGGTTGGGATTTGGAAGCACACTCTGGATTGGGATGAAGAGCACAACAAATTGGCTTATGACTGGTGAAAATTGACTATCAGGAGCTCACCTGGCAGCAATTTTCATGCACTGGGCCTGTCTTGCATTTGTTTTGATGCATTTTAAGATGTGTGCGCTAAAGTTTACCGGTACCTTAGGGTTTACACAAAACAGCCTGACTAGTCCTGTGTACGAAATGGGGCAATGTGAAGGCTTATTAAATAGGGCCAAACAGGGTTCACGACACGTACGTACGACTGACGATTTGGCCGCCGAGCGATTTCCAACATGAAATACTTTTGGCTGTACGACATTTTTCGAAATAGAAAGCTGTCTGCCAATCCACTGGGTTATTTGAACAAACATTTCCAGAACCGTGAAGCGTATCAACAATACTAACCGAGTATTCGGACTGCTCGTTTGACGAAATCACTAGAAGCTTAGCAAACAAGATCAACCTTTCTCAGAATGCTCGGCACGATAGTTACTTTTTTGACTTTTACCTGATTGTTTGCATGACTCTTACTGGTTAGTCTAACGGGACCGGTTAATGTGATGGGGGATTTCCACTTTTGCTATGCACGAAAATAAGACGCAGCCCTGTATCGTTCAAGCCTGCATTATTCCGTGGACAGTTTAGGCTGGTGGTCTATAAGCTTAGTAATATAACTGCGGTTCCTGAAGGTAGTAACACATGCGCTTTGTGAAAGTTATTGTGCAGCGAAACTGCATAAAGACATGCCGTTCTCTATATACCTTAGTGCTTCCATATTAGATTGCGTAAGACTGGACAAGTCCATGGAAACCTCAGTCGCCTTCCACCGTAGTGTGTCGTGTGCAGTTGAAGCATGTTTCTGACATAACTGCCAATCCCAACAGAATTATTCCATTTAATGACCAGCGTGGGTCTAAGCATACATTGTAATCCGGCGAGATCAGACTATCCAAAGAATAGAGAAAACATTCTGTGGCAACATTTAATTTTCAAAAACACACTTATGTGTCCTTATAATACTTTGTCCACCATTTAACCCAATCATTCTAGCTATGAAATTTATTTGCTTATGGGACATGCTTACATTTAGCATATTTTCATGAATAAGCTACCTGAACTCTCCTGATGACATTCAAATACACTTATTTAAAACTATCCGTCCACTCCCTTTGATCTAAGACGGCAGTCTACTCCTTGGACCGCGGTGCATCTATCCGAATCTAACGAGTATGACAACAACAATGTTGAACGTCATATGGCGGAACAGTCAACTGGCAGTTCTGCTAAACACAAATTCCGAACCAATTTGGGCAGCAGAAGAAAGTCAGAACCTGCCAGCAAAAATGAATGGTCATCGAAGAGCTCAGTGGGTTCGGATGCGTTATCATTCTTGAGTCTGGATGCCAGGAGCGAAGGCTTATGGCTGTCTCTGGATGGATTACTCGACAACTCCGGACAATCTTCTTTGTTCTCCAACTGTTGGCAGAATGAAACGGAGGACGATCTAATGATAAGGTTGCAACAGCTACAAGAAAGACAAAACATCCCGCTTCAACGGTTGAAAGAACTATTACTTTCAAGTGTGAGTGTTTTGCATGATCCGTTTTGTGATTATCAAGACAAACTAATAGATCCCGAAGAAATTTCGTTTCCGCCCAATCAAAAAACAATTGTTCTGTTTCGGAAGGTGCTTGGTTTAAACAAGAAATTTTAAAAGCTGTTGAAGTCGCTGCCATGGGTTGCCTACTTGATCGCCTTAAGTATCGCAAGGGAAATAGCGGATGAGCTTTTTACCAAATAGTTTTCTGCTTGTATCTTCGTTCATTGGTCCAGTGCGAGCATTGGTTGTTGGCATGGCTGAGAAAGCCGATTAGCCAAGCAGAGCAGCAGAAGCGGAAAAACATTCATTTCTCCTAGTGGGCATTTGGAATACCTGGCGTTGGTCTCAAGCGATGCACATTCGTTGTCAGGTTATTCTACTCCATCATTTCCATACCTTTCTCAACCTTGACCTATGCGATATCATTTTGGCTTTATTATAGTTAGACTTACAGGTACACATCTCTTTATCCATCTTGCGTTAACTGAACAACTAGATAATATAGTAGCAGTAGATAGTATAGTAATTCACCCCTATATTACTGCTCTTACAGACCTGAAAGCTTCAGCAATCAAGTTGAAATGCAATGGTAGAGTAAACTTTCGATTTTTCTTGTCGGAACACTTTCAAGTCTCTGATCAAATTCAGCATAACAATATTTACCTCTGCGTCCCTCGAGGAGGAACTTCCAGTCGCAAGTGCATCTTCTCGCGTTATACCAATGTGACTTTGCTACACACTTGCATTTATCACGCAGGTTATTCCGGAGAAATACCTGAATGTGCGCATACCCCTAAGCAATATGACGTACTATTAGTGAGTATCAAAGAAACAGCCTAGACACTAGTGACCGGTTTCGTCCCAGAAATCCTCTGGCAAACATTGGGCACCCACTTGAGCTCACTGGTTGCGCATCACGGCGGAGGAATACTTAATGCGCCTCTCTCAAAGCCATGTGTTCATGGGGTGAAGGAAGCAAAAATGCGAGATTTTGATGAAATCAACGTGGTCAGTTTACAGAGCCCCCAACAATCCTGAAGCCTGAACTGCACACCTAGCTCAACCTAACAGCTGCGCGCGACACATGTTAGCCATGCAATATACGTCACTGAGTAACCGCTGGTAGCGCTCACTGTGAACTCTCAGTGGCTTCAGCGTTTTCCGTTAAGCAAACCATTGCTGTTTGTGCTGCGTGAATTGTAGGGTCTCTAGCACCGCAAGTTCATGGTTCAACCAAGGTTACCGAGCTTAGATAGTGCATTCGGCACGAAGGTGCACATAGAGGTTGTGTATCAGCGGGACGACAAATCTGTCAAAACTCTTGAATGCACTCCGCAACGGGCCAGTGTACTGGTTAATTGCGTTTGCACTTAACTCAGACTTTGTTGAAAGGTTGAAATCATTTGGTGGGAGCACAACAAGACACCATTTCTGGACATTGATCTGCAGGCTGTGTCCCAATCTTAAAAGTGTGGTCATGTTCGTTGCGCCTCTGAGCTACCCGACAATGCTTGCCAAACAACCTCCTCGTGCTGCCAGCTGGGTGGTTCGGGATTATCCCGTCCCAGCAAGTTGTTCGGCCGCAGTGTTCCAGGACGGGGTGGGTTTTCGCCTGGCAAGCGATCTCCCTAAAAAGGGCCGCATATGTCCGTTTACCAACACTTTGACGGGACGGATGTGACTCACCACTAAATTAAATCATTGCTCGTTGCTTCATACTGGCGAAGCATTGTATCTCAGCAATTTAATACTAAAATTGTGAGGAACCTTAAGCCCTTGTTTGGCTAACGAACAAACTGCTTATGAAGTGGACAATCGGTCACCGGCTCCCAATGGGTGCGATTCCCTGAATTCGTTCCGCTGCCTTTCGAGCAGGCCATTAGGCCAAAGGCTCGGGGTGGTGTCCCCTAAGTCAACACCCTACCTCGGCTTGGGCAAACGGGGTAGTATTTCGCCCTCTGACGAAACTATGAACAATGATTTTATACGGGTTAAGAAGCATTGCTTTACAAGCCCCGTTGGGTGGTCTGCTGGGTTAGCGAAAAACGTTAATGAAAAATCAGTTAGTAGTTTTACTGTCAAAATAATGAACTTATCGTTTTTTATTCAGTAGCCTTGCACCCCGAGCGTTTCCATAGCTTCAGTAGGCAAGAAAAGTAAATCCAAGGTATTTCCCGGGAGTAGGATGGAGAGCAGCGTCAAATGCAAATGGCGGAGTGCGTCATCCAACCGACTTCTAAATATAGCCAGCGTGGGTGCTGAAACAACAGATTCGCAGCATTCCATGGTTGAAACACACGAATGGAAAACAAGTTTTCACCATGGAGTCCTCCGTGTTGTGTGTATTTTTAACGATAAATGTACCTTCCTTTGAGTTCCATAATTTTTGTTGGCTCCATGCCTATTCGTAGGCTGCTGCCTATATATATATATATATATATATATATATATATATATATCGAAAGAGAGAGAAAATAAAGTTCTGTAACTGATGTGTAAGTAAATTAATGTAAACTGTTCAAAATGCCTCATGCAAACACTGTCACTAAAACCATGTTTAATAAGACACCTAAAAGCTGGTATGACCAACTAAGAGATCCCATAGTTATTATCAAACCGATCCGGGGTAAGCGGAGCAAATACTCACGCACGGCGTTATTACACTAAGGCGTGTGCTAGGTGGAGCCTGGGGATACTAGTCGGTAATCAATGACACGTAGGAGACATGTCAAATACGAGACCGGGTAGAAGTTGGAGGCGATTGAACCCAACGTATATTGTGCAGTCTACAAAAATAGGAAGTGAATCAGCCAGGGAGAGAGACGGTGCAGCAAGGTACTCACTAAAACGCTTTGTGAAAACGGATGTGCAGTCAATAAAACAAGTGGACGTTTTGAAGGTTAAAACAACCGTAAAATCCAATGTTGCAAACTACTGAAAGTGCGTGTTTTCCGGTATAATCCAAGGGTCCCTACTCGAAGGCTGAAGGATTGAAGCCTTCGGTGGAGCTGTTAGTGGGGGAAAGCGGAAGCTGATGATGGGTGCGAATAGTTGCATGGGCTTGGGTGGGGTGTGTAGCGGAGTTCGCTGGGTCCAGGCTTTGGCTAGTTATACTTGTGATGATCTTGGGAACCAGAGTGCATCATCGGTGGGCCGTCAGGGCGGGCTGGTCAGACTGCAAAAATCTGGCTAGTCCAGAAAAAAGGTCGACAGCACCTTCCGTTTGCTGCAGACCCGATGGTGCGCTTGGGAGGTGTTATTCCCCCCCCCCACCGCACTTCAGTCCACGGTCCTCGTCCCACGAAGAAATCCAGGCGTGCTCTTCCCACGAAGAAATCCGGGAGTCTTCGTCCCACGAAGAAATCTGGTGTCCTCTTCGGTAACGCCTAGCTAGGCGTTTGGGGAGCAACCCGTTCGTGGCTGTCTGTGGCCGAGAGCGACTGACTGTTCCTTGGTGCAGGAAGGGGGCCTTGGGTCTGCTGGCGAGTCACTCGGGGGTTGCGTTGAGCCGATTGGCGAGTCACTCAAAGGGTGGCCTTGGCAGTTCAGGCGGTTGAGTCTCTGTAAGGTAGAACTCACAGGGGTGGGCAAGGGTCAGGGAAGTGGCTTGACGCCGGAGAGGGTACATGGCATGCATGATAAAAGCACATACGCCTTTTAGGTTTTCAAAATGTTTTGAGTGCTTTGTCGATTTTGAAAAACGTTTGTGAACAACACGCACGATTACCACTAAAGAGGAAAACTGCGTGTTAATGGAAATAGTAAACGTTCACAAAATCTGAAAAACGGACCGGACATTTGACCTGTCTACTGCGTCGGTCGGTTGCTTGGGGTTGAGGCGGGGTAGGTTCAGGGTCAAGGGGACCGGAGGGTATCGGGATATCCAGTGCTGTGGTAGTCACCGCAGCTGCGGGTGCTTATGTGATAGCTTTAGACCGGGTTGCAAGTGGTTCGTCAAAGAAAGCCACTTTGAGGCGGTCGATGGACACCGTTGTTCGGTGACCATTCAGGTCTAAAGTAAAATGTTTCGGAGTCCGTTGCAGAATTCTGAAAGGGCCAGTGTAGGGAGGCTGGAGAGGGCGCTGCACTGCGTCGGTGCGGAGGAAGACATGAGTGCAGGTAGAGAGTTCGCTGTGTATTTGCACATCTCTAGGCTGCTCATGGGGCGGATTTGGGCGTAGTGAATTCATGTGTTGAGCTAGGAAGGACGCGAAGTTAGGCGGAGGCATAGCCGACGATGCGGGAGGTGAAACGAATTCTCCTGGTAACTTGAGGCTTGTGCCGTAAACCAGCTCTGCTGGTGCAGATTGCAAGTCAGCTTCGTTGCTACTGCGAAGAGTACGCGAGAGTACGAGTGAAACGTTTTCGCTCCAACTAAGGTCGGAGGAGGCGTAGAGCGAGGCTTTAAGCTGTCTATGGAAGCGTTCAACTAACCCGTTGGTTGCTTGGTGATATGCTGTGGTATGAATGCGACTACAGCCTAAACAGTTGCAGAGCGTGTCGAATTGTGAAGATTCGAAGGGCGTTCCTCAATCAATTGTAATGGTGGATGGGCATCCGTAGTGCGAGACCCACCGATCTAAGAAGGCCTGGATAACAGTCTCAGCTTTGCAGTCTGTTACGGGGATGGCTTTTGGCCATCTGGTGAAGCGGTCAACACATTTAAAAATGTATACGAATCCTCTTGACGGAGGCAAGAGAGCTACCAGGTCTACGTGTACAAAGTGGGTGACAACGGGGGGTGTTGGGGGAGAGCAGCTCCGAAACTCTCCACCTCTGCTGCGGCCCAGTGGTCGAAATGGCATAGGTTTGCGTCAAAGCAAACTGTAACCTTAATCGAGATTGCGTGTTGCAATCCGTAACAAACGGCGGTTACTCCAAGACCCAATAATAAACAGATGTATCAATCGCTGCTGTTGACCTCTGGCCTAGTGACCAAGAAGAAAGTCGTCAACTAGGGTGTCCGGCCTTTCTCCCAGCTCAAGCTATCTATAACTGATGAGTCCAAATCAGGACGAAACCAGTCATTCATGTAGTGCGGTATCGGGAGAAAGCAGGTCCGAAACCCCACTTTAGTTGCGGTCCAAGTTATCAAAATCTCATAGCTTTACGTCACTGCAAACTGTAGCCTCAGTCTAGATTGCGTGTCGCAATCCAGACGCGCGGCTGATACTCCAAGACACAATAATGTGTTTTATCCTTGTTTCTACTGATGTATTCCTCGTAACAGAAGAAGCGGAAGAGCAGCATTGCATGCTCCTACGGCCAAACGGTGCACCCATGATTATGGAGTCGACCATTACTTCCTCTATGGTAGGCGCAAGGTCTCACTCGTTCTGAGTCGCGTGGCAGTGGTGACATGGATGTGTAGTGCTACATAAATAACTAAATAGTATTTTCTTGACGTAGCCTGACACGCCTGAATAGGCACGATCATAGCAATACCAACATGAATGATTGGCAAATGTACAATAAGATTACAAGGTTAGCAGTAGCATATATGATATGTGGTGTATATTTGTATGTATGTTATTTTGAATGTTTGCAGCTGTTGGTTGA